TAAGCTTCCCAACACAAAATGATGTATAGGTAATTAATATTGAGGAATAGTACATACTAAGAACTGGTTTCATGCAGGAATACATATTTGATGTTACACTCACTTTAAGCAGATCCACACTTTATGACCCATAATCTCTGTGCACTATTAAAGAATTACAGTGTCAGAAGTTGAATTTCTGAAGACAACAAAGACAGAGGTACAAGATAGTGAAAAGAACAAATTTAAAGTGCAACAGAACAGAATCCAGGTTATCCAAACCAATGGTCATATATAATGATTTTCATTAGAGGTATGTCAGTGGAAGAGCAGCCAACTGGTTAGTTTTAGAAAATAATTTGCCATAAATTAATCAACCTGCTAAAGTACCCAAAATTCTTTTCAAGATTACTTTCAGTGTATCATCAAGCTTGTAAGAGAAAGAAGGATTTTTTTGTTAATCAAAATTTTAATATTATTTTATTTTCACAGTTTTAATAATTTGTAATATCTGTTTATGAATATTAATATTGTTAATTGTCAAAGGTTAGTTCATTGTTAAGAATGGAATTTTAATGCACCAGGTAGGGGACAGTGTATTTTAATCTAGACATTTGTCTGTTATATCCTAACCAGCCTGATGAGCCTTGGTATTGGGCAAAAGGCCTCATTGGCACTAGATATAGTAGATGTAGTGTGCTTTCACTCATGGGTTTTTAGAATTTCTAGAGGCTTGTATTGTTATTTGGGCAGAGGGAGTTTTGATATAAATGATGGGTGTGGCATAATGACTAGAACCTTCTTGACAACTGAATCTATCAGTAAATTACATTTAGTCTGAAGTAGTGTGATATTATGTGATAGTTCCTTCACCAGTAATTTAGTTCAATGCTGCCATTATCGAGTTCGTATTTCAATGAAGTAATAAGAGATAAGCTGAACATTTTGTAAAGTAAGAGAATTAACATGTAAGTGAAACTTGTATTAGCATCTGCTGTGAACTTAAGCCTGTCAGTGAACATTGGTAAAGCTAACTTGTAGAACCAGAAGTTTAACAAGATAAAATGTTTTAACTGTTATTAAGGGGATGGATTTTACATTCTAATTTTATCTTAAAATTCCAAAAGAACTCATCCAACAATAGATACTATAACAAAAATAACATTCATCCAGCATATCAGCCATAATCCTTTCCATTGATACTTAACTAGTTGTATTAGGTCGTCAAGTATTTAATGTCACTTTTTTTAGATGAAAAAAACCTAAACAACTTGTATATATATATATAAAAAAAAACATTTATTACATGAAATAGTCTCCATTCTTATAGATGATGCTTTTCCATCTTACAACCAGGTTGTTAATGCCCTGATTAAAGAAATCACTTGGCTTTGAAGCAGTAAACTTGTCAATGTCCTCTATAACACCTTCCACATTTGCATACGTTTTCCCATTAAGATTATGTTGCAGCAAACGAAAAAGAGGGTAATCTGATGGTGCCATAGCTAGAGAATATGGTGGGTGGGGGAGAACTTCCCAACTGAACTCCACGATCTTGTGTTGTATCAAACGTGCGACATGTGGACGTGCATTGTCATGGAGAAGAACACCTTTCCGACTGACGAGTGAAGGGCTTGATTTAAATGTTTCAGCTGCTGATCTCTGCATTGACAGTCACTGTGGATTGAGGAGTTTGAAATGAATTACTCCTTTCATGTCCCACCAAATGGTTTTTGTCTAGGACTGAGCGATTGTTTTTGGCATTTAATATTTGCATAGAGAATCCATTTTTCATCACTGGTGACAATTTTGTCCTAAAATGGTTCATGCGCATTACATGCCAGATGAGACAAAGTAACGTTGGAAACAATGATCATCGGAGAGTTCGTGAGGCATCCAAACACCTTCTTTATGGAGTTTTCCCATATTCCTTAGATGTTTATGTATTATTTCATGAGAGACAATGCAATTTCAGGGCCATTTCAATATAAATTCCAACATGTTGGCCCTTGCCATCACAGTTTTTAAGGCTAGTCACCTGAACGAAATTTGCTGAACCATCGTTGACACTTATGAATGTTCAAAACATTTCCATAACATCTTTGATATTCTTTGTGGCTACAGAGGTGTTGTTTCCCTTCTTATATTCAAACAGCATTACATGCCGAATCTGTCTCATCATGTGAATATACTAAACTTTACACATTATATAGGCTACATTAACGTGACGTTTAGGTGGTTTGTTTAAGTATTATACGTGATGAGGGTTTCTTGGGGGTTGGTTAATGAAAGTGTTCCAAAATGTGACATTAATTTCTTGACGACCTAATAGAATAGTGTTTCATAAAGTTGTTTTTCTAATGAACCTTAACATATTTTACATTAGTACATTTATTTCTAGTAGCTATAGTACTATTTAATTCTGAGCTTTGTTATCTTCCAGTAGTTGGATGTACCTTTATTTATAACTGACAGATTTACTTCTGTATTCAGTTCCATGGTAATTTCCTCATGTGTAATCTATGACAATTAGGCATTTTAGTGGCCCTGACTGTCAATGGAATTATGGCAAATAATACTGATAATAGTAAAGATAACCAACTGATAAATCTATGCAGTGCCTTAAAAACTTTATTGATAAGACACAAACATCTGAAGACGTGTTGTCACTGTGGTGAAAGTGACCATTATTAGGCACACTAGCAGAAATACCCGCCTTCTGGGCAGGTGTTATTGCTACTTCCTGTGGAAGGCTATTGGGCCTGCAGTCTTTTCTGGAATTGTCTGACAGTTCTACAACAATGTACTCATACTTGACATTCAGTAATGTTCACCATCTTTTAGAAAAAGAATTTTATTGAAATTTTAGTTTAAAAATAAGCTATCACAGAGTAGATTTTATTGAAGTATTTCTTTGTAGATGAAATTAACAATGAAAGTGCCTGTTTTTCTGTTGCAACACTCATGAGATTTTCACTAAGAAAAACAAATATTTTTTAAATTGTTTTATATTTAAAACTTATTCTTTTTGTTTGTAATTTTTATTGGTTAAATCTGAAACATATCATTTTTGTGGAAATCTGAATTGTTTTATTTATTGCTCAGCTATAAAAATGCTGTGTAGTTATAAAAATATTATCCAGTTATGATTGGTGATGATCAGTGCAGTTGTTTCCAAGATCCAAGTTTTGGATGTATACATCACAAGCTCCATTAAAATAAGATTGTATGCTTCAATGTATTAATTGCTACCATACTAAGAAGAATGGTAGATCAGTGTTATATGTAAATCACATTTGGATACTTGTACTAAACAAAAATAAACCAATATTGTGATTACTCCATGAGAGCATGAACTACAAATCCAAATAAAGTAAAAAACATGTATGTAGTTCTTACTACAGTTATCAATAACTTCTCGTCAAACCAAACCACCTCCATAAGTCAGAACTGATACTTGACATTATCACTGTTTTCTTTTTGTTGATATACTGTTAATCTAGGTGTGTATATATTGCACATGCTATTATTTGTCTTCTACTAGAGCTTTCTTTGTGTTGAGTTGCTTCTCATGCCACATAAATCTTGATTCTAAAATGATAAAACTAGCTCACCCAAGATAGTAATGAATGTCATTATAACTTTTAATTTTATTTTGAACATGACTATAGAACCTGAATTTCTTAGCAGCTACTAATTTCAGCATTTTAAATATGGTTTGAGTGCCACTGTATTATTCATCAAATGTCTTTGTATCTGAGTGAACTCTCCAGGAAGTCATACAATTGGTGAACTTCTAGTCAAAAACATTGCTACATTTTTGTTAGCTCATATATGGTGGAATATGATTTCGACATCACTGTCAGGAAGTAGTTATTAATTCTTCCTATCAAATCTCATACTTCTTGCTGTTCCAAATATTTATTTACTTTGACATTAATGGTATTGATAACTTTCACAGTAGTGTTTTATTTGATATCTATATACTAGCTCTCAATTAGTGCAGGTCTGCTCACCACTTTATGAAGAAAAACCTTAGGAAACTCATTTCACAATTTTTCAGTTGCCATGTCATGTCACAAAAACTTGATCGAGATATTTGCTAATGCCATGATTTCTTTTATTGTTCCTAACCTCTTCCTCACCAAAATAGTTTTGTGTTTAATGTTGAACTGATCCAGAAGGACAAAAGTATTAGATTAGCTTTACTTTTCTTGGTCAAATATACAATGACCTCTAGGTGGAAATATAGCCTTACCACATTCATTATCTCTACTGCAAAAAAAATAGTAATTTCTTTTTTTTTAAGTTGGAATTCAAGCCCCGTGAGTCTGAACAAGATACTCTGACCGACTAAATGTCAAACTATATAATTCTATAAATGATTTTGTTGACACTGATAAAGCAAGCTTGACTTTTTTTTTCTATGTATGAAAGGATACATAAAAAGTATAAGCAGAATAAATATTTTATTCTTTTCTAAAGTGACTTTAGTTGTTATTCAATCCTTCATAGTGATATGTATCATTTTCTCAAAACATTCCAATATCCATACAATTATAAGTAATCAAATTAATCTTACTTTAAAATGGAATGATATTTTAAATCAATAATATAAAATGTACAGTTATTATTGTTGATCATCAGAAATGTTTACTTTCTGGAAAAATATTTTAGGCTGGAGGCTGCTCTACAGTTTTCTGAGCCAAAACTACATACATGTTCAACATTTGCAATCCAAGATAAATAATCATTATTAAAGAAGCTTTATTTTTTAATAAATTAATTGTGTCAATAAGAAAACAAACTTGGAAACTTAGTTGAACACTTCTTTTTCATTATTATTTATTTTTGTAGCTCCTTTTGTATAAAGCAGAAAGATTATTTATTTAGTGTTTAAACTTGTAGAAATTTGGAGTGCGAAACAAATAGTGGTGTGACAATAATTTAAAATTCATCATTTTACCAGAACCTGTCCTTCCTTTATAGTTGGACATTATAAGAAGAAAAAACTACTTACATTCAATTGCCAAAGCAATATTTATTCAAAAACGTAAAATAATTCTGACCTGCACCTTCTATTTTTCACTCCTTTTGATAGAGAAATAGGTTGTCTAAATATGCTTATTCTCATTGGTAGAATGCACAATCATCAAGTTCTGTGAATGAATCTTTGAAGAACACCCAAGGCACTACCAAATGTTGAAAGAACAGGATGCATATTGTTGGCTAACAGGAGCAGTGAGCCAGCCTCAGCTCTGTGACCAGTGTTATAGAGCTCCCTGACTACACATTCAACATTGTACTGACGTTCTTCTTCATTCTCAGTGTCCAGCAAGTGTTTAATGATGGGACCATACAAATTGGTAGCCAGGGTGTGAGGTACTAAATGCTGATGTAGAAGAAGTGACAACAATTCTTCATCATAATCATTTTCTGACACCTGGAGGAGAAAAAATTAATAAGCAAAAATTCCCTGCCCAACAAAATACTCTCGTTGCTCTATAAAACCTATGATATTCACATCAATCTAACAACTTTACATTTTACACATGCTTATACCAACAATAGATTTTAAATAACACAATGCAGCATGAGTAATAATTTTCTGTACATATTGATTTCTTTTAACTACTTAGAATAAGCATTAACCTATAACCGAGAGCAATATCCGTTATATATACTCACCTAGGAAAAATGTTTTCAAATAACATTGAACACCATATAACCACTAATTTGTTTAAATCTTAATGTGTTTAAACATTTAATGGAATATTTGGCACTATTATTTGTTTGTTGTTTAGTGCAAAGCTACTCAATGGGCTACCAATGATGTGCCTATAGTACGTATCAAAACATAATTTTTAGTATTATAAGCCCTCAGACTTAACACTGAGTCATCAGAGGACTTAAAAATGATACACATTTTCTAACAAGTCTTTCCACAATACCTGAGTGTATGTATTCAGCAAACTAATAGCTTCATCCTGCATTTCCTTTGATCCCAACAGCAGTGCCACCTTTAGGCTATGCATGTAGCTACCATGGTTTTGAACTTCTTCATAAATTACCTTTCCACACTGAAAATTAAAGAAACAGAATTTTCATACACCTTAAAAGACAGTTGTACTTTATTAGCTAAATAAATTTTTTTATCAGTCAATAAAATCTTGAGATGTTGTTCAATATACAAGACTGTTTAGTATAAGTGTTATTATTTAGTTTATTTGTTGAATTAATATTTAATTTACTTTTCATAACAAGAGTTAAAAGTAATTATTTTAAAGGTGATAGTTATGGCAAATTTGGTTGCTCAACTCTGTATGAGCCATACATTGTGTTTGCATTTACATTGTTGTCTAGGCTTTACTAATATTGTTGATGTCATGTTACTCGATTCTTCAGTATTTTTCTCATTCCCTTAACTGAGTATTGTTAAATCAGCACCATTCTCATACTTTAAAGAAAGTTCGAAGCCTCAGTGATTGACATATGCATATAGGCGGCCAAGCGAGTACAAGTCAAGTGAAGAGAAAACTCAAGTGCACTCCAGTCAGAAATTGAGTTAGCAAAAGAAAACGTGAAGTTAGCCGGCGTGCGAGTGATCAGCCATAATGAGCGATATTTTAAAGTGAGTTTCACAGTTTAGTAGAGATAAAGAAAATATATTGTCTTGTCAAAGGGTGTTCTAAAGTAATTAAACCCATGTGTGTGGACTTTGGCGAAAAGGAGACAATTATTTGAAGTTAAGGATACAACTGTGGTAGCGTAAGTGAATTATTCACTGATACTATTGTGATAAGAGTTGAGAAAAATAGTTCATCTTGTCAATTGGATTCTAAAGTATATCCAATACATTTTGACAAAGCATTAGCATACATGCACTGTATATTAATACAAGTTTTACATGGAGACTTTACATAAGAAAATTCTGGGATCCATAATCAAATTTCCAGGACTCTTGAATCCTGCCATTCAGGATTAAACTTGCATTATTGTTCATCAAATAAGCCCACTGGTGGAAATTTGCAACACTTTTGGGGATCAGGACATATGAGAATAACAATGGCTAACATGACAAATAAACAAACCCAACTCCTATAGCCAAACATTTTTTTATTGTTTAATTTCATATATTAAGCTATTTCATGAGGGATATTTGGATGTTTTAGAGCTCATTTTCCATGACTTTCTAAGATTTTGCAAACCTGTGCATAGGCAAGGGGCCTAGGGATACCATAGGGACAACATAAAGTTTTAAGACACATAAAAATTAAATCTGAAATATTTAACTTAAAAAAACTAATTTTATCAAAAAGAAAGATAATATGATGTGTGATCTCATTTACCTACAGCTTTAACAGATATCCTTCAACATTGAACTGATATCCATCAAAGGATATAAAAATATGCACTCGCACAAAAATGTTCACCTGCAGTAGTGTACCAATTAACTATGACTATGAATATTTGAGTAAATTGAAAAAATTATACATTATTCAAACATACGCCTATTTACACTTTTATTATTATTGATTAGAAGTGTTCTAAGATTAAATGTTTTGTAAATTGTGTAAAGTAATGAAAGTACTAAAAACAAAAGTGATGATGATCAATAAATTTGGGTGAAACACTTGTTTTTAAATCTGTAATTTTTCTTTTAGTTTTAGTCATAATAACAAGTTGAATAAGCCTAATTAAACAGTGTTATTGTTTGTTTTCTTCTTACTGTAGATAATCTGCTACAGTAAGAGGTGGAGAAACTAACCAGTAATTCTATTATAAATTAATTTTTAAATAATCTCAATGTTATTTTGCTTTTTGCAAGTTCTGCTAATGTTTTTGTCATCAGTTTTGAGTAAAGCCTAATCCTTGGTTGCTGAAAGTATAGCTCAACAAAAGTTACCACACATTAAAAACAAAACAACAGGTAGATCTAATAGTTTCTCTCATTAGAAAATGCACAAATGAGAAATCACCAGTGACCTTGAAAAACTCATCTTGTGCATCCATCTAAAATCCTAATAGATCTTGAAGTGAAATATATTTGGGTCAATCTCTGTATTAGACAAAACCATTAGTGACCTCTGAAGCTCATCTTGAGCATCCACCTACAAGTTCAAAAAATATTAAAATACACTATCTATAATTATGTGTCTTTAATAAAACCACTCATAACTAAAAAAAGCTTGTTTTGAGCATCTTTGTACACTATCATCATATCTTCTGTTGTTGTATATATGGTTCAGTGTCTGTAAGGATAACATCCATGACCCCAGAAGCTTGTCTTGAGCATCTATATAGATTTCTTAAAGCCATAGTGTCAATTGGTTGGTGTAAACTTCGACTTTAGATTTAACATTTAAGGAACAAATGAATGTTAAAAACTATGATTTGTGCATCCATCTAAAATCCCAATAGATCTTGAGGTGAAGTATATTTGGGTCAATCTCTGTATTAGACAAAACAGTGACCTCAGAAGCTCATCCTGAGCATCCACCTACAAGTTCAAAAAATATTAAAATAAACTATCTATAATTCTAATAAAAGTTTTATTAGAAGTTTTATTTCATTTTTTCTAAAACTGTCTAATAAAACCACTCAAGTATTTAACCTTGGAGTTAAAATATATATTAGCCTATTTTTTAAGAGCTAAAGAGAACATGAACTTTGAGTGAAGCATGTGTATGACTGATAAACTTATAACTTTACATTTTGAAATGTTTTACTCTTGTTGAAATACAACATAGATTACTTATCACTTATATGAATATTTATAAAACTAACATCCACAAAACCTATAATGTAATAACTATACTACTTTTCTCTGTAACCTACAGTTCAGTTCTACCTCAGGAGTAAATGAAGTTCTTGATAGTGCCTTTTTCACTAGCTTGACTGTTTCTTCTAACACTCCAGATTCAGCAGGGAGGGAAAGGAGTTTGAGTAATAATCTTGACCACACATCACCCGCTGGGTCACTATGAGATAAAGCAACGTATAGTTAAAATCTTAAAGATTTCCTAACCATTTTAGTTTAAATAACTGTTACTGACATCAACAAAAAGTTTTGTAATTAAATAGAAAGCTGAATTCAACTAATTATATATGTGGCAATTAAACTAGAAAATAGTTTTAACTTTTGAAGGGTGTGTGTACGTAACTACTTTCTTGTGTGAATAGAAGCTGCTTAATACTTTGCTGCTTATGACTAAAAAATTTTCTTCTTAGTTATCAATGCCTCTTAAATTGACTTCTGCCTTCTTTTGTTGCTATCCTTGTGATTTACAATGTCATTATTATTAAAATGACTGATCATTCCTAAATACATCCAAATGGAAACCTTTCATTACCTCATCTTTAGGCAATATCATGGAAGCACTTTCTTATTTATAACTTCGATAATAACTGTACGCACCTTGGTGTTAATGATGGCCAGCAGTTTAAAACATCAGAGAGTGCTGTTATATGTTTTATGTTTTCACTTTTATTAAGGAGGAAATCAAAAAGCTCTTGTCGGCCTTCTTCAGATAGTATCTTTTCTTCTTGAACCTGAAAATATTAATTGGAGGTAATAATAATATGAATCAAATATGACACAAAATGCGAGTGTTTCTAGTGTGGCTAAAACAAAGAAGTTTAATTTGTAACTAGTTTCAAATTAAGGTTGTGGTTAGTTTGGAATGTATTAAGTATTCTTGTCAACAGTGCAATAAAACGAGGTTCAATATAACTTGGAGAAAAATGTTTAACTATCACAAATTTATAAACACAAGAATACACAACCATTACTGAAATTCAAATAAACTGTTTATCAGTGGTCATAGCAGCTATCAAGATGAACAGGATGCTAAAAATGAATGCATTTTATTTTGATATTTTTCTACATACAGGTTATTAAGGGCAGACCTTCAGTCAATTATAAATAGGATGGTTAGAGCAGGAATAACTTCTAACCAATGACATCAAAATATGGTTATTATAGTAGTATGGTCTGCCCAATGGCCAACAAGCATGATTATTGTCTTACAATAACAAGAAACTTTCTAGGTAGTTACTAACAAACATTGTTAGCTAAGGATAAAAAACAATGACCCAAAATTATGGCTTATGAAGAAATACAGTCTCACCAATCAATAAGCATGGTCAGTATAGGAATACTCTTCAATCAACGACTCCAAATCATGGCACTTGAAAAAATCTTTATAATCAATGATCAATAATTTGTAGAGTTGGGGTTGTCATTTACTCTCTACAAAATATATACGTACAGTTATAGAGCTGTTTGAGTATATAGCACTAATGCTATTCACTTACTTTACAGAAAACAAGTTGTATAAAGCATCCAATAAAACTTGCAGATTTCATTACGAAACAAATGTCAGGTACAGTCTATTCTTGGATTTACCATTTCTCGTTGATTTGTGTTTCTCCAGGGTTACTAATGAGAGGTGGAATTCCACAAAACTGGTTTAACTTAGTAAATGAGTGGCAAAGCCAAGAAAAGACTAGACTTCACACTTCTTTCTTACAGGAACTTGGAAATGTTATTGATGAGAAGAAAACAACAACAAAATGATCAATAAGCAAGATCATTGAAATACTTTCCAATTAAAGACGAACAAGTGTAGTGCATGACAGACTACATTTGAATCAATAACTAACAAACATAACAACTAAAGAAATAGTTTCCAAACAAATACTAACATGAAAGTCTGGCCAGCTATCAGTGATCACTACCTGAGTCCTGAACAATAAAAGGAGTGCCAAGTCTTCTGGTAGAAGATCAACAGTCTAGAGAAAATGAAATACTTCTAATATCACTAGATAATGTTATTTTCATAAAAGACAGAACACTGGCTTTATCAGCTCTTAACTCTGCATTACAAATTTACATTTTCTTTCTTCAAATTTTAATAAACTAAATATTCTATTATTTAACAAAACATAATATTACTACTGATTCAGAAAAAACTCCTTAATCTCTCCAGTAACAATAAAACTTTATTCATTATTGTCGAAACAAATCAATTAATCTTTTTAATAAAAGTATAATTTAGCAAAAACTTAACATTTCTACTGGAAGTGAACCTTTATTGATAGTTATAAAAACTCAAATTATTCTCAATAAATTCCAAATTGATTCTAAGTTAACAGTACGAACTTAGTTAAGACTAGACGTAAATACATTAACTTGTCTAATACCAAAAACATACGAGAAAAGATCCAAAAATTGACTAACTTTTTCCAAGAGCTGCAACACTCTTAATCTTAAACTGACAGGAACTGAGGAATCATTACAAAATGGTCGTAAAACTTCCAATGCCAATTCTCCTGTTAATAACTCTTCACTGAAAACAAGTATTATTATAAACAAAACACATTTTAATTCTAACAGAATTATTAATTAAGTTACTGAAACTAAACTATATTTTGGTAAAATTAACAAATTATGCATGAAACTCCACTTTAGATTTGCTGTAACTACTACAATATAAGGTAAACACATTTTTCAAACACAGATGAGTACTAAGACAATGTAATATTCACAAAGGAAACTGAACACATCTAATAAAATAGTGATAAAGTTATATTTCACATCAATGATAATTTCATGCAAGCAGATTTTAGGCATTTAACAAAAATATCAGAACAAAACTTTTACAACATAATGTGATATTATGGTTAAATAATAAGTATAAGAAACATTTTTTAAGACTTTTATCAAATTTAAAGTTGAGATAATCAAAGCATGGCTCTAATGAAGTAAATTACTGTTGTATAGCTTCTACAAATTGTGACATTTCACAAACCTTAAAACTCACATGCTAATGAACAAGACAAATCTTGAAACTAAATAAAAACATATTAACCAGCCATGGAAGGTCTTTTCATACTTTATTTTTAAATAAAGATGTATAAAATTTTGCTATAATATGTAAAGAAAAACGTGAAGTAGAAACAAATGTTTATTATTAACAGTTGTCAATAACATTTGTATATTCTTCTGTGAGCACAAGTAGTTAATGAAAGTTGACAGCATATATATGTATATGTCTATGGTGAAATATACTCTTTTTTTTTAAAGGAAGTTGTAAATTAAATTCTAAATTAATTTAAACAAAACCTGTCTTGTAAATTCCAACAATTTTATTTTAGGAGAAGTGAGTGCAAAGATAATGTAGATGAAGTGAAATCCCTTTAAATAGGTAAAAGATCTGTGAGACTAGTCAAATTAACTTTTCAGTGAACATATTTCATACAAATCTCATTATTAAAATCTTATTACTAAACAGCACACTTACGTATTATCTGACAACTGTTTGAGTATTGCATCCAAAATATTCAAAGGATCAGATTTCTCTAAAGCTGGATGTAAAGTTTTATCTGGATTTCTGGAAAAAAACAAAAATCTGTTTTCAAGAAAAATATTAAACCTTGATCTTAAAACTATTCTTATCAATCTAGTTGAAATTATTTGTAAATTCAAAAAACAGATGTATAGATGTAATACAGATGTATAGCACATGTTTAAGAAATAGCTGGATATTATTCTGTGCTCACTTTCTACCAACCTATCTCATTTAAGAAACATGAGATAATATTTGAAAGAAGTCTAAAATTAATAATAATTTGATTCCTTCCCTTCAAGAAACATACGTTCCATGTTCTACTTATTCCAAAATAGGAAAGGTACCTGAGCTGTTCTGTCACTAAAGTGATGGATTCAGTGAAAGCATCCATTGGTTCCCAGGCCATTTCAGGTGGACAGAGAGCCAGAAGGTTCTGTAGCAAAGAGTGAGGTTGGGCCTCCATTACTGCACGCAAAAGCATTACTCGTACCTGAAAGATACATGTTATTGTAATGGGGTAACGTTTGGGGTTGTGAGAGAAATTATGAAATTTTACTTAAGTATACTATAATGTTTAAAAAGAAGACTATTTCCTGGTTTCTTTAACTTACCTCCCACTCAGTATTTATCAGTTGTTAATTCTAAACAGGAATATATTCTAGTCTACATGAAAACAGTCACATCCAGAATTTTACATGATGTTAGTCTTACATGAATGATTATTTTTCTAATTGTTTTATATACATTCAAACAAATAGGTGATGCACTTGTATCTGATATCATTTCCTTGGAATAAGGATTAATACATTATGCCATTCTAATGATATGTCCCACTAAATCAACATCAGAATAAAATAAGTGTGGAAATTTTTAGTTAATACACATATAGCAGTCACAGTTTATCATAGTACAATACATTATGACAGAATAACAAAAGGAAAGCTAATAAGTTGTACTTGATTTAAAAAGGGCAGTACAACTTGTTTTTTATGTTATCATAAGTTTATCAACATATGGCAGTGAGATACTGTTCTAAAGATCTTGTATTACTCCCCACAGTTTAGCCAAGTTGTTTCATTGCCATTTGATCTTCTCAGTTTTCAAATAAGCCCATACAGCCTTAATAATATTCATATCAAGGACTTTGTGCAGATTAAACCATGGTTGTGAGTATTACATCAACCTCTTTGTATCTCTGGTATTATTTCACCACATTTGCTGCATGTCTAAGATCACTGTCTTAGTGCAAGATGAATCCCTGAGCAACAGGTCATGTTCTTAAAGGAGTCACATAATAGATAAGAATGCTTGTACCTGTCAGCAGAAGGATGCTGACAAGTGGAAGACTTATAAAACTACTTATAACACCTTTGTGAAAGACTTATAACACCACCGACTGAAATGCAGCCAACACCAATATTGGTCTCCCAGCATCCTTCATTGGAGGTGTAGTATGTTGATCATGATAATGTTCTCTCCCTGCCACTGAATAAACTATTATTAACTGTTGCCAAACATACCATTATTTGAAGTTTGATGCTTATTTTAGCCTTTTGGTTTGGTAACTTAAACAATGATTTATGAGCAGATAAACATCCACTGAAGCCACTTTGTGCTAATGTATATCTTACTGATCTAGAGGCAACTTTCACACCCGTACTTATAATTAGATCACTGGCAAGATCTTTATTGGACTGCATTGTTTTATGTACCCTTGGTATCACTTTTGTAGAATTTGGACTTTCTACCTAATCTGTTCTATTATCAACAGTACTAGTTTAATGTTCCTTCTTCAGAGTTTCTATACAGGTCACACTGAAACATGAAATTTTGCCTCAGGCTGCCACAAGAAGAAATCTTCACTAACCAAAACTTTTATCATGTGTGATTTGTATCTTGAGAGTCATGAATATATTCACTACACTACTACAGAGAATATGATACATTCATAAGCATTATGGTGGTGTGGCACAGTCTGACTGGTTGAAAGACAGACAATCACAATAAAAACTATCAACATGACTGTGCTCTGGTGTAGTTCAGTTTCATACAATAGAGGGGTAGCAGTATCATAATATATGAATTTTATACTCATTTTGTTCCCTGTTTCCATAATTATTTCCAATAACGTATGTGTTATGCGCAATCTCAGAATTCGGTCATCCACTGAAAAATGACCATTTCACAATTATCAAGAACCCAAATGAAATGTTATTTCAGTTTTTGTGCAAATAATTTTGCTCAAATTGCAAAATACCAAATAAACAATGAACAGAGCAGGAAAAATGAGACAGCTGTTTTGATCACTGTGTAAAAACTATTTAAACAAATTGAGAAATCTAAAATATCAAAGAGGCAAAGAACAAAACATGAAACAGCATTTCATTTTGGTCTTTGATAATTTTGATATGCTCAAATTGGGAAATGGTGATTTCTTTTATTGAATGACTGAATTCTGAATTAAGATTAACATATATATCACTAGCAAATGTATCCATGTCTCACACACCATTTAATTTTCCTAGCTTCCTGGGGATGATGGGAAGGTACATCATTCACTGTGCAGGTTTACTGAATATAGGTGATGAGCAAAGATACCCATTTTTATATAAAATTTAAACGGCTGCCAAACTCTAACCATTCTTCAAATTGCATATCCATTTAAACTCAATCTATGGGTGTCTACCTGAGTCCCACTTTCAAATTTAATTGAAATTTGTTCCGTCAGTTCCTCACAACAACAACGAACAACTCTGTTTTATATATATTACAATATATAGTTGTCCACAAGAAAGCAAGCTAGATAAGTTTGGCTGCATATTCTATTACAATTTTTCTTCACAAATATGAATTTAACTATGCCAAATATAAGCTTTTATTATGCACAATTAAACTGTACTGCATTTTCTATTCACAGATGGTATACATGTCTGTCACAGTCAAAATGAGATATTTTAACCCTTTCACTGAGGCTGAACGTATATTTCCTTGTGCTGCAGTGAATGGGTTAAAAAGTGTAAGTTAAAAAAACATCCTCCTCCTCCAAAAATTGTGATCTTTACAATGACAATTCATATCAATATGAAGATACGATTACTTTTTAAGGAATTGTGTTTTGAGAATATTATTTAGAGGATTTTCCATAAAAATTTAATGCAGTATAAAGATTACTGGACAAATTAGACTACTGATGTGTGGTAATACTCTTTTTGTTGAGTTGTTTGTTCGTGCTTCAAGTAACAGCCGAACAACAAGAAAATGTATAAATGCATTTATGTTTTATTTGATTGTATAATCTTAACCTTATTCATAACAAATGAAGCACAGTATGACCTAAATCATAACTGAAAGTTCATATGTCAAATCAACCATTCTTCTTTGCATTTCCAATGATGTAGAAATTATCCATTGTAACAGTTTTATAACACTATTCCTAAAACAAGAAAGCAGAATTGATTCATTGCACAACCCCTTAATTAAAATGGTATCTAAAACATATATATATATATAAACATAAGATTTTCATACTTTTTCAGGAACAGAACGAGACAGATCAAATTCTTCAGCATAGCCCTGGATAGCAGCATTAGATGAGGTCTTCATCTCAACAACAATTTCATCTTCAAGACGTTTAAAGTGTTCAAAATTATGATGAAGTTGCTCAAGAACTTCTTCCCATTTTTCACTTAAGAAATACAATACAAAGGTAAAAACTCCAATTATGTACTGTGATAAAAAATATATAGAACTGTAAAGAATTTGTTTTAAAGTTGCTTAACTACAAAAAATTACAAAAACTGTGCATACTACTAAGCAAGTTCAAAAACAAATGTTAACATTTTCTTATTTTGAAAATGTATTTCCGATAGGTACTTACTTTCTCTCACCCAAAGCTATTTTGATCCTGGTCTGCCCTCTAAGCATTGCTAAAAACAATTTTGCTACAGCACTCCAGTCTTTATATGTCATCAGTTTTCCACAATTTTAGGACATTTGCTGATCATGTGATTACTCTTCACCAACTGATCTGTGCCATCTATACTGGTGCAGCTAGCTCCCTCTACTATTCTAGAACAATCTTCACTTTTGAAATAGGGAAGGCACAAACCATACACACCAGCATCTCAGTGGGGAGGAAAGGTGGGAAATGGGTGAGGGATGGTAAGTACCTATCGGAAGTACATTTTTAGAGTAAGAAAATGTTAACTTCTGAAAAGGTACTACCTCATCGCACCCAAAGCTAGAATACCACATTGCCAAGGTGGAAGGACTGGTGAGAGCTCATCAATCTCAAATCAAGTAGAAAGTGACCACACTAAAAGAATGGGTGTGCTAGAATATGAAAAAAAAGCACACCAGTGGGGTACAGCACTACTTTTGGAACAGGTATGCTCTTCGCCCAGCAATCAATACAATAACACAATTGGGGAAGAACTGAATTGACAGGCACAACTGAAGTAAAAAAAGAGAGACGTACAGCACTGAATCAGTGTAGGAAGTGCTGGTTAACTATGACATGAATCAGTGTGGTGGTGACAAACACGGAAAGGTTTGTGTGTATGCAAGTACTTTCCCTTAGATGTGTGTGCCAAGGGAAGTGCCTTGGGTCACAACAGATTCCACCAAGTGCAGTCCATCCAGGCAAAACATCCAGTGGAAACACCATGTATAAGATATAACGACCAAGAAGTATGGTCTGCCTGAGCAAAAACATCAGGAGAAGCACCTTGGATATGGAGGATTATGAAAGATATAAATTACTGTTATGAGTGCAATTGTGAGGGTCATCATAATGAGCCCTCTGTTCACATCCATGTCATAATGAGTCATCAAAAGAAATAAGACATAGTACTGAACATAGTAACAGTGAGTCATAGTATTGTGACAGTAAATGAGCTGGATAGAATGATAAAATAACAATACATGGCTAGGGCTTGAGGGCCATGAATGTATCTGAATAGGTCAAGTGTGGTCCGCTAGGCAAAAAACATCCAAAGGAAGCACCTTGGGATACGTCGGATTATGCCAAGTGTGATCCATATGGGTAAAAACATCCAATGGAAGCACCTTGCATAAGAACTTGAGATTACCAATTGCAGTTCATCTTGGCACAGAACATCCAGGGGAAGTGCTATTGGTTACATCAGATTATGCAAAGTGTGGTTCATCTAGAAAAGAAGGGGGGAATATGCACTGGGGAGTCCAGAGGAACGACACACCAGAGACAGTGCAATGGGTGTCTGCATTTCCCTATTTCGAAAAGCAGATAGACCCTGATTGTAGGAATCATGAGTCAGTAGGGATAGGCAGCAATACCCATCTCTTTTACACATGAGGTCCATAAGTGACAGTCCTTTATAAACGAAACTAGTCACTTTTAGTAAAAAAAAAAGATACACATACTACCAGACAAACTGCTAGTGATCTTACAGAAACACCCAATATGAAGCATACCTGACCAGATATCACCCACCACCAGGTGGAATCCTAAAATAGATGTATAAACGAAAAATACAGAGGAAAAGTAATATGTTGACTTACCCCAGTCAAAGGGGGATAGATGCGAGTAGAATTCCCACAGGAGAAAGATAATACTTGCCCAAGGAAGACGCAACCTGGTCATGCAGATAATGTGCGACGAATGTATTGAGAGTTGTCTACAGCCCAGCCTGAATGATCTCCTCCAAAAGTTGGCAAAGGCAAGCAGTTAAAGACATAATTAGATGATGAATTGGGTGTGCAGAAACTTCGTGCAGATGGCGACCTTCCACGGACAAGTCAAATATGGCAGTCATATGAGTTGATGAACCCCAACCAGTGAGTGCAATAGGAGCATATCAAGGGACAAGGAGGGAATCCTTGGAACAATAACATGATAGGAAGCAGTACAAGCCACATGACATCTCAGGGAATGAACTGGACAAAGAATTCTATCCAGAACCTAATGGGAATACAAGTAGAAAGTGGAAGGTAAGGAAACAGGAGAGAAAGCCAAAGCATCTGCCCAGGCAGCAAATGTCTAGGGAAGGAAGGCCCAATCAGGATAGAGGATAACATAAGAGGAATGATAAAGAATGTGGGAAACATCAATGGGATAAATATTGGAATGACGATGACAGCAAGCAAGGAGGAGGTAAAAGATAACTTAAGGGACAGATGGTACAAAGAACATGTAGGAATGGGTTCAAACGGAGAGCTGGACAGGGCATGAAGGACAAAATTCGAATTAAATATGGTAAATAAAGGGATGTGGAGGATGGACAAGATGAAAGGAATGGAAAAGGAGGGAAAGAACAGGGAAGAAGAAAGTTTTTCAGAAATGGAAGAATCAGAAGGTGTTTGACAGGGCAGCCCTATAACTAGAAACAGTTGACACAGACCAATCATGATTAAACAACCAGGTGAAGAAATGGGAAAGATGAGGTACCAAAGGACAGGAAGTGCAGAAGCCATGGCAAACAGACCAAGGTCTGAAGGTTAGACCACTGCCTCTGGTACACAGACAAGGAGGAAGGTCGAATGGAATGGGAAAGATGCTACACAAGGAGTGAGTCTCTGAGCTGAGGCAAGGGACAGGACAAAAGCCATGCGTAAAGATGGAGTTTGGTGACGTCAGAACTATGTTTGATCCCAGTCGTCGGAGGAAAGACTGGGACAGAGGTAAGGACAGGGGATGTCGTTCCAGTAGGGGCTAGAACAGAGGGAACAACAGCTGAGCAGGACAAGACAACAAGTGGCTGGATAAGGGAAAATACTCTGGACAGGAGTCTGATTGGAGGGTAGGCATATAGTTGAAGACCCCTTCATGGTTTTCCAGTGAGTGGCAAACACATCTATATGCAGTGTTCCCAGTGGAGAATACACTCACTGAAATACCTGTGGAAGAAGGAACCACTCTGTGAGGAGAACCTGGTTGGGTAGAGATAAGCAATTGGCCACCAGATTCATCATGCCAGGAACATGACAAACCAAGATTGCCATGCAGTTGTTATGGGCCCAGTAAAGAAGATCCAGAGTCTGAAAACACAGAGATCTGGATTTGGTTACCTCTTGCTTGGTGATATAAATGACAACAGTGGAATAGTTGGAATGAACCATAACCACCTGCCCCTCAGGTGTGGAAGGAAATGATATAGAGTCTTATGAACTGGCAAAAGCAATACCAGGATGTTGAAAATAGAGTGGCCTCCTTGACAGACCATCAACCAGAAATCTCTTGGGAATCAAAGAAAGCCTCCCAACCCACCAAGGAAGCATCAGTAAACAGTTGAGGCTCTGGACAAGGTGTAGGAATGGAAACCCCACCGAGGTCAGTTCCCTGTCTAGCCACCAAGCAAGGTTGGCCCTGATCCAGGATTAATGGTAATGAGATGGTCCAAGGGATCACGGGAGAAGTTTCATTGGATGAGAAGCAGTTACTGAAGGGAATGCATGTGAGTTCAACCCAAGGGAATGAGGGTTTCCAAGGAAGCCCACTTCCCCAAAAGAGAAAGAGAACCCCTCATGCATTGAGAAAAGGAGAAGGCAAGGCCATTGAGACTGCTCACTCCATATCCCTGAGCTGAAGTGGAGAAGGCTGGGCCTGATGAAGATGGAAATTGAAGAAAAAAATCCCAATGGAATAAGATACTGAGTGGCGTTAAGAATGAACCTCTCCAATTGGAAAAGAAAACCCCACCCAATTAGCTTCCCGAAGAAGTAAGCAGGAGTGATTGACTGACTGAGCACGGGAAGAGGAGAGCAGTCCACGAAAAGGAGAGCCCAAAGACCCAACAAGTGAAAATGATGGGCAAAAGAGCATACCACTCAACAAAACACAAGAAGCTAAATAAGGACCAAATGGCAGTGCCCGGAACTGGCACTGTTTGTTTGTTATATAATTCCCAACATTACAAAAAGAGAAATGTAACATGTTTCCAAATAAGATGAGACCAATACAGTAACATACACAGGAAATAGAAATTAAATGAAACAGAACATCTCATTGTAAAAACATTTTTTCATAGTAAATAAAGCAATATTTATTAAAATTAAATTATTATTCACTAAATCTTTGACAATATATAAAATATATTTATAGAACAAATCATCTGATTTAGAAGAAGTAAGATAAACTAGAACTCTCTCTGGTAGTGAAAGATTTCAATAATTACTGTTATTCGAAACAAAACATTTTTACAAGGCTACTGTGAATTAATAAATCAGTTTCATTTTTCTGTTTCTTTTTAATAGTACTCAAATTATTACCAACAATTAGAAATTTCTTCAGAGACAATATTCATTATTCATTTCCATAAAAAAACAAATGCAGGTATTTCTAACGATTTGTTTCACTTATTTTATACACTTTCTCTGTAGATGTTGTAGCATTAAAACAATATACATGTTGATTTTTGGGAAGCCACTGTAGATTTCATAACACAGGATACAATTTGTGAATCTGTTGTAATAAATTATTATTTAACCCTCATTAATCATTACTGTCATTTTTTAATATATTCTCAAGAAAATCTTTGTTTAAAGAAATAATTTTTAAAAAGTACCTAAATTCCTATATGTAAAATGTGATATATCTAGAAGTAAGTATCTACATGATTCCATTTCAGTTTTATAATTCTGGATTTCAAATGTTATATGTGGATGGGTATTGAGGCTAGTGTTTCTAAAGTTATACAAGAGGTAAAATCACTTTCAATGGGATATTGAAAGAAGAAAGAAGCAAGGAACATTATATACTAAGTTTTGGTTTCTGGGTCATTGTCAATTTATGCACCTTACTACTTATAATTTCTTTTCTTTTCATAAGCCATATTCATTCTGCTCTGTAGGTGGAGATGCTGATGGGGCCAAGGTTTTTGTTTGCTTGTTTGCTATTAAGCCACCCAATGGGCTATCTGTGCTGTGCCAACCATGGGTATCAAAACCCAATTTGTAGTGTTATAAGTCCTCAGACACACCCTGAGCTACTGGGGTCAGGGACCAAGATATTACAAAGCTCAAGCAAGACCCACACCTTAGCTATAAGAATACATCGAAACATCTAAGAAACATAGCAAGAATGAGTATTTTAATTTAAAAATGAAGAAAGCATCAAATGAGAAACTGAAACACGTATATTAAAAAAATAAATGATAGCACACAGCATCAGCTCAAGGATATCTTCATTAAATACAACAAAAACTGAAAATATAAAAGTGAATGATATCTTATGATTAGCACCATTAAAAAAATGTATCAAGAGCAAATAAATATAACATTTCATGAGGTACAGTGGAATGGTAAAGACGATAATAACAAATTCTGTTTGGAAAAAATTGGCAATAAGGGACAATGAATGACAATAATCCACGAGCCAAAGATAAAAATGAATGAAGTTTGACATAAGTATCAGTTCATACCTTCTGAGACCAAAAAAAAATTTGCTACAAAAATCTGCAACAAAAGGAACCACTAAGAGTGTCCTTCTAAGTTATATCCACATATTATTAAATTTGGATTAAATGGGTCTGATCTACTGATGCATTTCTATAATGATAAATCTTTATTTCACATGTTTAAAATCAGCCACCAATGCTCTTGTTTCAAGTGATTTAACTGCAGTGAATGATCAGTAAAATTCTAATATCAATATGAGCACAAATGTAGATTTAAATAAAAACTTAACAAGTGACTAAAAATGTTCCAAAGAATATTACAACATTTTGTTATGACTGGGAAACTCGAAAGTCCAAATAGTGGTCTACGTGTCAGCCAAAAAACCTAATATTTCATGCATGACAATAGTCAAGTGTTTAACCTTTCCAAAAATTATCAAATTAGAAGAAAACATTAGAAAATATATTATGAATTGAAACAAGGACTAAGAATCTGTGAGTTCTATGAGGAATAATATGATGCCAAATCAGTAAACTATAATGGCATGGGGATGTTTGCTGTTGCAGGAGTGGTGAAATTTTGAAGAAATAACAGTGTCAAAACATCCCGGATTATTACAAAAACACCAAACGATTACTGTTTAACTGATCCTAGCCTGAAAGATAGTGTACCAAAACAGAATGTTCTTCTGAATATTTAAAAGCAGTATTTGCAGGAGGGAAAAAAGCAGCTAAAATAAATGTTATAAAATCTATAACTGAAAGACCAGTGCTAGTATAATTGAAAATTGTGGCACTAAATGAAAAAGAATGTTGCAACAGTTGCACTAATTAGCTTATAGCAACTTGGGGAAGTTGTTCAGCAAAAACTGAAGGATGTATTAACTGATCATTTTAAAAACTAGTAGCAGCTACGCCTGACTGATGTCTCACACTAACAAATACTGATTAATCATGTTCTACAAATTAATTTCTGTTAGACAATATTGTGATTTTGAGTATAAATATAACATGTAAATAAAAACAATACCTTTGGAATTTTCAAAGAAACATGAGTATTGGTATTCAAGACTTTCCATCATGTAAATTCAGCAGAGCGAGATGATTTTGAATTTCGTTTCCATCACTTAGCTCATTTTCCTGCTACCATAATGTTAGAAAATATGCATTTCTGCCTATTGCCAATTCTGCCATTTTTGTGAAAAAAGTGAAATTTGATCATCTTTGAAACCACCCAATCTGTCAATCTTCTTAAATTGAAAAATCGTTATTTCAGTAGTTATATATAGTATGACAAATTTTTATGCCATAATTCAATTTGTTTCTAAATAAAAGCTTTCATAATATACCCTGTTATCTTCTCATTACTAAACACCAAACACTGCATCAATAATTCATAATAAACAGCAGTGGATCTCTAAGATATAAGGTACTCATGGGTGGCATTAGAAGGGTTCTTGTTTTGGACAACATATTTTACACTTTCTTGAATGTCTACACATTTATAAACTCAATAGTGTGTGAGCTTACTACATTTGATAATTCCTTCATTATTTTACAGTAGGCTAATGCCTATACATCTCTCTGTATGTCTGCATGTTTCTTAATCTGTCTATCTGTCCATTCTTTGCATCTCAATGTTCTATCTTCAATAGCAAGTGGAGCAATTGTAGAAAGTTAGCTACAAATTATGTTTACATATTGTCATATTGGATAAATAGAGAATAGCAGTATTCTAATAAGTTATTCTTTTCCTTTACAGAATCTGGTGTGTGGTAAAATATTTGTATATGCATGAGCTGAAAAAAAATGTCTGCATTTAACCTAGACTCATATGTTATTACCTCAACTAACAAAAATTAATTTGTCCAAGTGTATTTGCCATAAGGAAGGTATATCCAGAAAACTCACTCAGTTCACCAATATAAAAAAAATGTTTGAACAAAATCAGACTAGTTGTTCAAGAAATATGCCATTGACAAGTCAAGCATGTGAAGTTGTCCATGCAAATAGTAAGTGTCAGCATTCACTTACAATAATAAAAAAAAGCACAACCAGAGATTAAGATGAGTCAATATGGCTGTAACACACACAAACAGAATTATAGTATTTTGGCACTTGTGTATAAAGTTAAAATCATAAATAATATTCAACGTTAAACTGGTACACAATTAAAAACATTTTATTTAGGCCTATCAATGGCCTTCAAAAAGTTGACAACTCTACATGTTTCGACGTTACATCATCATCCACAGGAGTTGAAACATGTAGAGTTATCAACTTTTTGAAGGCCATTGATAGGCCTAAATAAAATGTTTTTAATTTTGTACCAGTTTAACGTTGAATATTATTTATGATTTTAACTTTATACACAAGTGCCAAAATACTATAATTCATTAAAAGTTGTCT